AGCGCGCATGATGCGCCACTGATCAGTTAATCAGGGTTTGGCAGACCCGGGAATTACCCTAAAATTTACGATTCAGATGGTACTTTCTCGGCTATCAGTTAGTTGCTTCAACTCAATAATAGCGGAATTTATTTTCTTCATCTCCAAGATGCTACCATACGTTTTACGATAAAATATTAACGGCTATGTTGGTGCAGCAGAAACTTATTCACTTCCAAGATAATTAGCTTAAGTTAGCTAAGTGCGTCGAGATGCCTTAAGCGATATGATAACTACGGTGGACAAAAGTAGCAGGTAGTAAGCCAGAAAGATTTGATACTCCTTATTTCTAAACTATGTAATGATATCGCGAAGCGGCAGATTTGAGCTTACTGAAATTCAGATTTGAAGTTGCAAGAGTGACAGGGGTTAAAAAGGGCAGCTGCATAAAATGTGGAAAGAACAACTAATACTATATCATGGGAGCTAATTATTTTCCAACATGTATTCTCGTTGCGTTACATTATCATATATATAAACCATCAAAAATGTATTTTGAATCCACATATTAATAAGAATAATTATCCGCAATTACCTGTATAATATATAGTTCACCCTCATGGTTTTCGCATAAAATTTATTCACTTGTATACTGTCTTCCAAATCGTAATAGTACTAATTACTCTAATTTAACCAACAGTCGCATATGCTTTATCATCATAAGTAAACTCTCAGTATGGCGCAAAACTCAAAATTTGACGGAAGGTTATTTTTGTATGCTTGTTTCGAAAATATTAAATTTTATTGAAGTCTATGCATCAAGGAAATGTCAGGGTACAAAACAAAATGTGCGTATTGCTCAAACCTAACCCATATAGCAAAGTGATACAAAGCTTGTATAATTAATAGCGTTTTATATTACCGTATGTCCGCTAGACTAGTTGAATTATTCACCGTTAATAAATTAGATACTGCAATTTGATTATTGAAATCTTTTGCAAGTACTCAGGAATGAATTGGTGTTTAAGCAACCTTTATTTAGGCATGCGCAATATAGCTTAATTAGATCCGGAAGCTTAAAAGTTTCGTCTTTAATTAATAAGCTGAACTCGATAATTATCAAGTCGTTCAGAGATATCAGATTCCAACATTAGATGAGGGTCCACCATACGTTTTATTTGTCATCTGTGATTTATCATTTTTGCATTTTTCGGAAAACCAATATAAATAACTTGTACTCTGCTCGTGTGTGTTACACAGGTGTGTCAAAATATGAACTGTAAAATACGTAATTGGGCATGATTATGTAACTCAAATGGAATCAAAGTATTTCCAACTCAGTTTTAAGCCACAGATTGAGACACAATCTATCAGCCGTTGCGTGTTATTTTAGTCTACTGTCATCACTACATATGTAGTTGTTAACACAACTTCTCTTTTCGGAATGCCTACATTTGCTTAAAAATGCTCACTGTCTCCGTGGAATCGTGCGCATAAAAGTAGTGGAAACAAGCCATCAATGATACTCAAACTCTACCAGTTGACTCAGTAATGACCTTGCATACGTGTAAAGCAGATTATCAAGAACTTGAACTCCACTAACTTGGTAAGTACCATAGCTGCAGACCTAGTCCAAAAAAGAGATGCGTTTGATGCTACATGATTGAATGGAATGTCCTTATATTTTGTACCAAGATTTGTTAGTTATTTGCAAACCATCAGATTACACAAATTTTTTTCTCGGCGCTTCAACTGAACAGTGGAATCTGGTGAGCGATTACTAAAGCTTAACTCCTAAGTAGTGTATATTAATTTCACATTGTAAGTGGACGTTCGGATTTACAAAAACAACAGCAGGCTAATAAGTAATAATTGTCAGCGATCCATAAAATGACACCGCGGTCTTACTTACAAAACAGATAGGAGCAATTTATTTATGAGATTAATGGAAGCAACCACAACGCACTTGCATAAATCACAACGTCAAACAATTTAAAGTTCATATTGGACTGGAACAATATGATTATCCCGTGAGTGCTTCTTTTATCGGTCCTTGGACCCTAAGTTGAAGATCTGCTTTGAAATACAGGTAGAGCTATAACGAAAACCGCATCTCACCCGGATAAACAAATTGATGCCCACTTATTCTGCACTTGCAGTGGATGTAAGGTTGGCTACACGAAATAAGAAGGACGAAAAAATTACATCAGGATGCGAAACGAAGCAAGCTAAATAATCATAATAATCAGATATGAAGAAATCATAATTGGAAAGCTAAAGCTGAATGAGATTTAGGTACGGAAAGGAAATGTTTGGTGTTGTCACCCAAGAACATCAGCTTGGAGAACATAACCGTTCATCATAATTTTGATAACCACGTGAACTGGAGGCGCGTAGCAGCGCTCTGTAACTCGGACCGACAAACGAGATTCCACTTTAATATAACCAGCGTGCGGTTTGTAAAGTGTTAATTAATAACCGCGGAGTCTGAGCAACGGCGTGGCTAAACAGTTAAGATAGGTTTAAGCCTAGCTTATCCATCAACACATGGTTAGTTAGAGACAAATTTACTCTTCTTTTCGGTAGCGTATTAAATAGATCCACACAAACTATGCATTCGTTCGAGAAACGTCGCTCTCATTAGATTTGTAATAAAACATTTGTCAACTGATAAAAACCTATTTACATTTATTTTCTCAGAATAAACAATGTTGGACAAGCCCGGATGCAGTATTCTAATGGAATCTCTTGATAAACCGATCAAGGATGTACAGGAACATATCAAGCCTTAAGCTTCCGTGGAGTATTGGAAGAGGCAAGTCCTACGGAAACAACCAACTGCAGTTCTCTTCCGCCTGTCATAAAAGGCAGTAGACATGTTTAAAGATATAATCGGTTTCCCTGCACTAAAGCAATATTGTGGCTACGTAAGCTCGCTAGACAAAATATAGTCTCGTTTGCAAACCGTTACTTCCTGCACGCAAACCACATAACCTTCTACAAAAACGTAGGTCAACTACGGAATTTGCACAATTTCTACCATCAGAAATCCGAGGTAACATAAAGAATGCATTCAGTTTCTAGACAGGTTTAAAGATTTAAACGAAACCTGCATACTAAATGAACTCTCTAAACTACTCTGCACTCGGAGTTCGTGTGGTATCTGGTCATATACTTCTATTGCCCTGAATATTGGAACGTACTTTCATGCAATAAATAATTTTGCGAAGTCATCAGTTTTTATTTAACTGATCCATATTTGCATAATCAGCAGACACAACAGTGCATCTCTGTACATATTAATGAAAGTCTAAGCGCAGTGAAATCCTGTAGTGCAAAAATCGCTGGTCATCTCACTAACTTAAGTTCCTTGACCTTTGCATGACCGCATAGAATACCATCGGTTATTTGAATACAGGGGAAACGACTTCCTTATTTACTTTTTTGCAATAAGTCTATCTTACTAAGCGGATGATGTCTACTTAATCCGATGAACATGAATGGTGCTTTGCATAAATTTAAACTTATTGTTGCTTCAAGCACAATCCTATCACATTGAAAATAATGGATAGAATGCTGACAAAATTACTGGCCTACGTGAATTAGAAACCAGTAACAGCTTGCCACTAGCCTCCGCGTTTTACAAAGCTTGAGCGTGTTGAAACCAATTTCCATAAATATATGTAATTCCACACAACGTCCGTCCGTATTACAACGGGACCTGTTGAAAACCCCTCGAATCGGTAACTTGCGTAGTGAGTGTTACACAAAATATTTGATGATGTGGGCGTAGGAGAACCAATGTTTTCTTGCTTATTCTCATTATTATTTAGTAGACAGTAGGTGGTGCCCATCAGTTACTATCCCACCTACCAGTAATTATTGGATTGGTTAAAGGTAGTGTTTTTGGAACACTACGTTTTCTCATCTATGTTAACAATGTACCCAAACGAATAAATTGTGATGCTACTTTGTTGTTGGTGGGTAACATTAAGGTCGTCTACTCACAAGAACGTACGAACACCCAGATCACTATACGCCTCATCCAGGAACATCTACCTGCATCTATCTGCCAACTGTGGAAGAAGAAATGTTCCGTGGAAGTTACATATTCCGCCATACAGATGGCAGGTATCGCCTGACCATCCATTGGTGCAAGGTTCATACATGTGGCAATACAAAGCAATTTTCGGATATTTTGTGTCGAGATAATTTATTTACCTTTAAGTTTTATGAAGTAATTCTTGATCACATTTTTAGATTGAGTATACTTGTTATCGCCTAGCCCACGCCCAGTCCATCCTTACCTCACGGAGCCTTGCAACTGCCTATTTAAAATATACATTTTATTTTGTGTGGTATGCTGGTCGCTAATTTGAACAAACCTGCGAACACTAGTCCCACATACTTTCTTAAGTGTCTTGCGGCGCATTACGAAATGTTAAGCGGTTAATCCTCAAATTAAATAAAAAAAAAAAAAAAATAAAAAGATAAAAAAAGAAGAACAAACAAAAAAAGAACAAAGGGCACAAACTAGTAAATATAAAACAAATATAGCCCAAAACAAGCATATTAATAACCACTCACAACCCCACTGCCTCCACCCACACCACCCCCACCCCACGGTCCCAATGCCCCGAACCCCCCACCACCGAACCACCCCCTCCCCCCGACTCCGCACTCGCCATCCCCACCGCCCCCCCACGACTACCCTCCCCCGCAGCCTTTGAAACCCCCATCCCCCCAACCCACTCCCACCCCCCCCCCTACCGCGACCCTAGTCCCTTTCCCACCTACCCCCGATGCTCTTACTCCTCCAACCATACTCACACCCACTCGCACACCCCCTCACCCTCCCCCCCCCCCATCCTACTACCCCCCCCCGACCCCGAGCCCCACACTCGAGACAAAGCGCGCCAGCGCCCCTGCCCTGCACCCCCCCCCCCCCCCCCCCACACCCCGCGCGCGCCGGGCGCGGCCCCCACCCCCCCCACCAAAGCCCGGTTCCGCCTCCCCGCCCCCTAGCCCCCCCCACCCTCACACCCCACCCCGACCCAGCCCACCCTCCCCGACTCCTTCCCCCGTCCCCCACCGCAATCGAGCCCACGCCCCCTCCCCCTCCCACCACTCCCCGCCCCCCCGCAAAGCCCCCACCCACCGCCTACCCCACGTGCCCCCCCCCCCCCCCTCCGCCCCCCCCTCTTCCCCCCCCAATCCCCTAAACTCGTCGCCCTCCCACCCTCCGCCCCCCGTACCCCCCCCCACCCCTCCCCCCCCCCCCACCCCCCCGCCCCCCCCCCCGCTACCCCCCCCTCACTCCACCTCCGACCCCAACCCCTGCCCATCCCACCCGCAGCCTCATACCGTCCATCTAACCCCCCCCCTCAGCCCCCCCCCCCCCCCCACCTCCACATTCCCCCCCACCCCCCCCGCCCCGCCGCCCACCCCCCCACGCCCCCAGTTGACTCCCCCGACCCCCCCCCCCCCCCACACCCCCGCCTCCCCCCCGACGGGCTACCCCCCACCCCCCACCCTTCCATCCATCCCCCCCCTCCGACCCCCCCTCCCACACCTCTGCCGCCCCCCCCTCACCCCCCCCAAACACCCACCCCCCCCAACCCCCACCCCCGCCGCACCCCGGGTGACCCACCCCCCACCCACCCCCCCCATGACCCTCCCCGCCCCCTTCCCCACCCCCACCCCGCTCCCAAAACCCCAAACCAACGCCACACTGCGCTCCCACCCTTCACCCCCACACCTCCTCCACTAACACCCCCCCCCTGCGCTCTCTCCTACCGCACACCCGCTGGCCCCCCCTCATCGTGCAAATGCGAACCGCCAGACTAATACCCGCGTAAATACCACGTCTAGCGACCCAGAGCAAATGCAAAACTAAAGAGCAATTAACTCCCGTCATACATGAGGCCTCATATTCAGATCACCATAATTCACACAACTACTTTACACATCATGTGCACCCGACGATCCACCCGCCCCTCATATCATCACGTGTATCCGGTGAAGTACCTGAGACGAATCGGCAGAACTCTTACATTACAACCCGACATATAAGATCTAGGCATGATCAGACTCGACACATTCCTTGCATCGCGTGCGAACTTTGATTTCTAGAAGAAATGTTCCTCATAATCCGCATCAACACTCAGATAGAAGGTTTGTAACAACAGAACCCTTGGTAATTTCCTTTGAGAATAGCGTTGAGCGTGAGTACCAGTGTTTATGCACAAAAATAACTTGTCCTTCACGGCTGAAATGTACAACCCTGTACAAAAAAATATTCTCCATTAGGAACACTATCGGCGGCTCTGTTTCCATGTCCACAACTGTACCGCCATGGTGCTTGTTGCAGAACCATAGCTCATACCAAGACAAAACACCAGCACAAATGTCAGTCAATTTGTGCTATATATACCAGAATTTTTGCGTCTATCATTGTATTTAATTACGTCCTTTACTAAACTAGTTGTGACAAAACTTGGTTCGTCTCTACTAGGACATACGCTTTCAGATCGTCGAAGAATATATAATTATGCATTCTGTATATTTGGTTAAACCCTACCTCAATAGCTATTGCCGCAGAACCCACCCCCAGGTTTAAGAAACGCTTCATTCACTGCAGCGAGTGCAATGAAAATAGCATTGCTATTGTATTACCCAGCCGTCTTTGAGTATACACTAAACTCATAAGAAATAAAGATAGCCATCCTGAATATCGCAGATAATAATGCTGTATATTCATCTACTTCCTGTTGCTAAGCTGGTGTCCACAATCTAGAAAATGGATAGTCACCTCTTTTTAAAGATTGTTAATCGTTCTGAGCACTTGAACATCCGTGCAGCAATTTTCTTTCCGTTGCTATCCGAAATTATGGAAGGTGCTATCCCGGAGTTGCTCATGAATATTTTGACGGTAACATCCACGTAACATTTTGGAATGTATTTCGCTAAAATCAATTGTGCACCACAAACCTACTGCCAGCCTGAACAAGCTGAACGGAATCAGTCGTTACCAGCGGAAGACTAGTAGTCCTATATTTATACTTTTCAAGTAAATTCAATCAATTGGACGACCATACTGGCATTAAAAATTTTCGCAGTTAGAAATTTGGTGTCTACATCCCGCGTTGGATAAGTTATTGCAACCATTTTCGTCAGCTAAATGCGGGACTCAGCTTTGCTTTTTTCGACCCAATGGAAATCGGGTGTAGTGAAACTCAAGGATCGTTACAGAGTCCGCAGTTATTCCTACCACTCAACCAAGCTCGAGATAATGTGCAACAGTCGAGGTTCCTGTAATTTGCAGGTGATGTCAAGATCTCACAGCAAAAAATACACTGGATGGTCCCTCGGTATTGCAGATATCATTACAGTGCCAAATCATTTTTATCCGATATTTAGTTTTTAACGAATTGGCGAACAGTGGAATGGCGATGATTGTCGAACTGAGGAACGAATGTTATATAGAAGGCGATTTTGCGGCAAGTATGTAGAATAAACTAAGTTTGAGTAACAGGCTGCAAAAAAAACAAGGAACAAACAGACAGTGCAGTGGCCTCCTGCGGAGAGCGCTCAAAATGTTTTAGCCTTCATATTATGAAAGCCCATATAAATCTCAATGTGAAATGTGTTATCCATGCCTGGTAATTCTGTGGAAAGCTTGCGGTTTATGTATTGCAGTTCAGCAACTTAGGCCTACAAAGTCCTTAGGGGAATGTTAGAACACCTCCAGGAACCCAGTGCAACTCCGTGGAATACTCACTGGTAAATATCGTCCAATGCAAGGTGTCCTCGTAACGGTTACTGTAAACTGAATATGTACAATCAAATCGATACAATGACTTTGGGTACAGGCAAACTAACAACCGCAATTAAACCATTGATTTTCACTAGTAAAACATCAAGCAATTTACAAATTTATAAGGATAGTTAGAATAAAATATGAAAAAATCAACATTTGCGAAAACTTTAACACGGCTACCAATTAATTTGCCCTGCTGCTTTACGTTAGTGTAAAGTCAAACTTCAAAGTGCAAAACATAATATCTAATAAAGCTAATGTATTTGGTGTATTTTATGATAAAATTAGGGCAGTGAAAATAAACGCTTCCTTATCTTTCAATTTCCTGAGTGGCTGTGATGAGTTAATCCACTTAGAGCAAACCATAATCATATTGCACAGTGGAAATCTTTGGAAACATAGAGCATAACGTGAAACTGAGCACATTAGAAACTGGCGTTTCGGCGACTCACTCTCATTAAAATATATATAGTGCAATGTAGATGTGTCAGTATTTGACGAAGACAAATTTTGAGTATCGTCAGTGTTGGGAAAAGCAGGGTAAATTGTGACGGCCTTCCAAATTTGGAACACACGAATAGAAATGATATTCCGATGGCATTACAACCTGATATGCTATGTAGCCAGAGTTTGCCAGTGTGATCTATAGTGGAAACTCCAGTCAATTCCGGGTGCCGACAATCACGCTTGTGTTTTGTCAAGACTTACATGTCTTAAGCTAATGGTCACGAATATATCGATATTCCCTACTGCAGATTCTAAGTGTGTTCTTGGCCAGCTAGCAAGGGAGATGAGACACACAATTTGAAAAATAAGTATACATGGTTTTGTCATTTCAGGTGTTGCATATTGTGCATGTACCAGGGCATCCATCTTTTATGGCGTATACTAAACGGAGCCTAATTTAGGCATTGTGCATCTTAGAGAAAATGGGAAGGTAAAATCGTTTGATATTTGTATGCAATTGGCTAAGGTGTTTAATAATATTTCGATTTACTGGAAGGGATGTAAAACCATCGTATCTACTAGCCGCAAACTGTTAATGTATACACTGCGTTTCGAGTCCTATCTTCATTAACCACAAAATCCTAGACGATTTGACTGCATTGTTAAGCTTATTACTTCTGTTGTTCAGTAGCTGGTATAAAGTTCCACTTGAAAGCTACCAACTTACCTCGTTTAAAAGAAGGACGGCAACGCGGATGTCCACGTGATGTTTGAACCTTACTTAACATGAACATTGAACAATTAATTATTACGGGTAAAATGCGGGTGCCTCACCAGTCCCGTAAAGCGAATAGGTGAGAAATATAGCTCACCTATTAACTAAATCGCCGGTTTACACACTTACGTATATAACTGCCGAGACGTACAATGTTAGTTTGAAATGAGAATTGAAGGTGCGCACACAAGAAAACCGGACGTAATTATGTGAAAAGGTAATGGAACTGTAAGCTTCGTCTTGTGAAGCGTTCTTCGGCCGACAATATACGTAAATACCGCAGCAGCTTTTAACAAATTATGTAGTAAAGTTGAAAACGCACACGGGGAATTGTAGTGCCTGGTTGATGTTCTCATTTGTAGACTTATACGGCGTAGGGTAAATGTATGATTACAATGTCTAGACGTTTTGTAATAAAATTACAGTGGAAGAATAAAAGGGTGCCGCCATACAGACAGCTGGTATTTAGGACTGGACCTTTGTATTACCAATATAAACGGTCTAGTACCAAAAATAAATGGTGCATGGACTAGTGTTGTGCCTGCAACATATATAACGTTTCCTTCTCAGTAACAACTTCCAAGCTCTAAAATGGAAATTGCTGTTTTCGAAAATAGTTAATGGTTCTATACTACTTGACGAGGCCGGTTTTCACTTGGAGTCAGTGATTCGTCGCCTGTGACAGCTGATGTTCATATTATGTTTTGCGGGGCGGTTTGTGTTTCCAGTAGTTTAATTGATGTTGATAAACAGCATGTTGCTGCGATAGTAGTACGTGATTTCGAAGTATTTGCTCGCAACATGATGCTTTTCCTGCCTGTGCGAGCTACTTTTGCTTTTCTTGGCACCACTAATCAATCGCAATCACTGAACTCTCACCCTATGGTGCCTAGCATTGTGCGCAATCCAATCGGCTAAATTCTTGAATGTCAATGAAGATTTTGCTAATCATTCCGAGAAAGCTATATGTTGGGTTCCTCATGCGCGTCGATGACTATCCTGTGGCTCAGTTACGTTTAAGCCACCTGGTAACGCGCATGCTTAGGTGAAAGTTAGTCGAGCGATTTGCCTGACCCGAGCTTCAGTAACCGTTTGTCACTGAAAAGTACGAGTTAACTTTCCAGTTGGAGCCGTAGATCAGCATAACTTCATTCGGTTTACAATTTTCCTATTGCTACCTGAATAAATCACAAAAATGTTCCTAATAGCAGTACATACGGCCTTTCATCCTGCATCCTATCATTCCGCATCGAATAAAAAATGCTGTCATGGCAGGCTCAATAGGCAAGCATTTACGTTTTGTAATTGACCTTCGAGTCGGAGCTTTGGTGTGCGACTCGTGCCCTTGGTGAATTAGTTGGTCCCTATTATAGAGCACAATATCTGCATAATGACTTGTTCATTGCAATTCTCTACATATTTTTCCATCGCAAATTCATGCACGTAGGGCGAAGTAGGTTTTGCGTGTTTACAGAGACAAATTAACGGTTTGTTGCATTTCAAGTTCACGGGGGCATCAATTCATTCTCTCTCAGAGGGTTTACATGTTTGAACTATCCGTGACCCGGTAATTTGTAATAGGACATTATTCAATAGGATTTCCTGGATCTATGCACAGGACTAGATGTAATAATCTATGGGGGATAGGTAGGCTCCCCAGTATGTTGACCTACCGCCGTTAACAGAAAGCAGCTAGGGATGTCAGTTTCGATGCTAGGGATCATCAACAATACTCCTGACTGTAGCTGGTCAAAATTGGAAGAGGTATAGAATCGTTCACCGTCAGCAAAACATTTAGCAGATATTTTGTCGGAAAGAGTTACCATTAGTTCGTCTTCCGAACGGCCAGTAGAATGTCCCAATAAGAAAAGGTCTC